TCACCAGCTCCACAAGCTGCACCAGTAGCTGCTGTCACCGCTGGAGTTACATTGCAACCTGATGCAATTGCTGAAGCGCAAGCAAAAGCGCAAGCAGCGTTGGCTCAATATCTGGCTCAGGTATGTCACTTGGTTTGCAGCTTTTGATTTCCAATATGTCAGGCTTGTTGGGATCTCGTAATCGAGTCGTCAGAGGACGTTTTGAAAAAATAGTTTGAGAATGGCACATTTGATGAAACTTTTCTGCAACACTCTGGCTTTCTTAGGCAGTGTTTTTGACTGTGCAATAATGTGTCTTATATTATGAAGGATTATTGGGTCGTAAGCTTTGATTATATGTTTTTCAGAAGTTATTTTATTTGTAGAGCAAGAACCTGATGCATCAGCAGCAACAGAAGAAAGAAGAGAAAAAAGATAACACTCGTCCGATTAGCAGTACTCCTGTTAGTGGAACTGCTTGGTGTGTAGTGTGGACTGGGGATGGAAAGGTAAGCAGATGATTCCGTCACCAGTATTATTTTTTTCTATAGTAACTCTGAATGATTTTAGGTGTTCTTTTACAATCCATCTACAAAGACGTCTGTTTGGGAGAGACCACCAGAAATGTACGGAAGAGCTGATGTTGACGTGCTTGTCAGCAAATGCCCTGAGGTCAAGAAGGGTAAGCAAAGTGGTACTGTATTGAGTTTATATCTATCAGAGAGGTAACGTGCAAGAATTTATTTCTAAGATGAACCAGAACATCCGAATCCTGAAGCTGAATCTGATGGTTCTGATGATGAAGAAACAGAAGATGGTGGACCACCGAAAAAGAAGAGCCGTTCTGAAAGGAAGAAAGAAGCACTATTGGCGCAACAGAAAAAGGATAAGGTAAAAGCAGTGGTTGGTCTGAAATTCATATATCTTTGTTAATGGTCATTATCATTGCCTGTCTTCCTTATTTATTTATTTTTAAGGATAAACCTGTTCGCCAAATGCTGGAGAAACCAGTCGACCCCGCTGTACAAGCTGAACTGCAGGCGCAGCGCGACCGTGAAAAGGTAGGATATGCA